CAGCTTCCTGCTAATGCGCCTGGAAGGCAGTAGATGATGGCCCAAATGCTTGGGTCCTTGCCATCCATGTGGGAGACCCAGATGGGGTTCCTGGCTCCTGGCTTTGGTCTGGTCCAGCCCTGGCTGTTGTGGCCATTTAGGGAGTGAATCAATAAATAGAACTTCTCTCTTGTTCGTTTGCTCTCTCTCTCTCTCTGCCTTACAAATAATCTTTTATTGATTTCTGTGTGAGAGAAAATTCAGAGGTGAAGTATTTTGTTCAAATTTATCAGATAGGACCAATACTCTCAAAACCCCATATTAAAATCATTTTGCTTTCAGTTCTTTGGAAATATGTAAACCATTCATGGTCCTTGTGGCCCATCTCTTATCACTCAGAAACAGTCGTCCCTATTCTAACAGAGATCAGTATACTAACAGATTTCTATAATGTTTTCTTGTGAATACATTAATATCTCCCATTTGAAATATAGGATCTCTTAGCATTTAGTACATAAACCTGCCTGGCCCAGTCTGAGAAAGGCTGAATATTCTGCTGTGGTACTAGACACCAAGATCCAGAAAGTCTAACTGAGCTCCTAGATCCTATTGATCTACATCGTGTTGAGTATGCTGAAAGAAAAACCTTTTAAACAAATTAAATGTCCCTCTGAAACAAAATCCTGAAGCCAGTACTCTGGATGCCAAATTAAAGGCTTAGGGAATGTGTTGGGGTCTTCCCATTTTACACTTTTCACTCACCCAAGAATTTGCTTTCCTTTCATTTTATTCCACATATTCCTCCACTTCCCACTAACAGTTCCTGTTTTAGAGCTTAGTTCAGTACCAATTATTCTGAAAATTTGCTTAATGTGGTCTGGCAGATTGAAAAAAATGAATTGGAATTTAAATGTGATAGGAGGGATCTTGAGTGGAGTGGAATGCAAACTGGAATAGAAGTTAGAAGACATGAGTGCCCTTGGGCAGTCTTTTCTCTGGGCCTTTGTTTTCCTGGTGGAAAGGGGGAGAGAGCCTGAGCTACATGCCGTCTACCATCTATGATTCTACAAGCCTCCCCACCACACACACACTTAGGTATTAGAAAATCAAGGGTAGGTGTGTCCGTCGTAGAGCCCTGTGTGGTGGGAGTAATTTGGAGGAGGTGAAAAGCAATTGCAGATTGGCAGTTGTTTGAGCTTCACACATCCTGGGATAGTGTGTGCAAGATGTAGGAAGAGAAGGTGGAACACCCACTAATACAGGAAAGAAGTTTACTTTGTGGAGAAGAGTGAGTGCCAAGCAACCCTGCCTCACTACAGCCTTTGAAGCCCAACTCTCCGCGCTGTTATGCTGAAAATCTACCCAGAGTTGGGGATGAACTAACAGACCTGGGATGACTAGAAACCACTTTCCCCCTTTTCTTAAATTTGGTTTTGTTTTCATTGAAGTGTATTCAGCAGACTGAAACAGGCTTCTACCTGCTTTGTTACTGGCATGTGGGGACAAGCAGCTACAAAAAATATGATTACTCTTTCACTCTTCTATTAGCTTTCTTAGTTTTTGTCGTGATTTGACTGTAAAACCTATACCTCAACGGTATGTAGTTACACAAGAGTCCGCATAAACAAATATTGCCATCTATTCACCATAAGCTCTATCTGGACCAGGAGATTTAAGCATTGCTCTAATTTAGCTTTACAGTTTAAAGCAGCTGCATTGGAAACTGCCAATTATTTGTTTAAAAGTAGACTTCCCAAGAGCTGATTTATATTTATCTTGATGTTTTGTTACATTCATAACCCACCAAGGCAACCAGGATTTAAGAATCAGATCATTAAACACGTTTTTCCATTTTCTGCAATGAGTTCCACAGGCAGAAAGACAAGGCTCTGGGAGTGCCTCTGGGCAAAAGATAAAGGAGGTTACAGCTAGTGGAAGTGGTAATTAGAGCCAATTACAACTTGACTTATCTGCTTTGTCATTAAAATACCTGTCAAACCTCTCATTTTTCTAAACAGAGGAAAAGAAAAGGTATAGCTTAGAGCGGGAGAGGGTTAGCCAAAGGGAAGAGATTTCCATGCCATTCACAAACTCACCCTGTAACCTTAGACACACACATTGCCTTTTGGCTTCAGATGGTGCCTTGCTCACAGTTTAACTCTGGGAGCTGAAAGGGACTTAGGAAATCAATCACCTGGTCCAGTCCCCTGCCTTCCAGCAGGTAAGGTATTATTATAGTCCCACTTTTTTAAACAAATGAGACATGAAAGACCTAGAGAATTTAAGTAATTAAAATATACCTTCTACCTCCCTAAGTGCAACGGACTTGATTTTGGTTTCACTTTTAGCTTAACTATCACAAGAATGTAATTATTCTCCACACTACTCTCACAAATATGAGGTACACAGATTAATAATAACCACAAAACATCTTGAAAATATTAAGGGATGTTTATAAATATAACATTACCAACAGAGATACTAACACATTGAGTAGTTGAGTCTCCAGGGTAAGTGACAGGAATGGATTTAGCTCTATCAAGAATTGGTTTCAGGAAATAAAATTACACTCAAGTTCAATGGACCAATCTCACTCTTACGAGTGTTAAGGTCCTAATAAAAAATTGAGGAAGAACAAGAATACTACTAAAGAACATTATCAAATTTGAAAGCATAATCAAAGAATAAGTTTTTGTGTATAAAAAAAACTTATCAAAATCAAGCTCCTTGGGGGATAGTTAAAATGACAAGCTTTTCTTACAAATGCCATCTTAAAAGTCCACTATCCTATACAATGTCTAATGATTTTTCTTCCTTTTGTCTTTTCAATTATCTAGTCTGGCCCCTGAATGCCTGGACTCATTATCTAGCCTCCTGTCTCCAATCTTTCTTCACCTTGCATTCTAACCCATTCAAATTACCCCTGCCCAAATCACCATCTTTACCTGCTACTTTGAACGCATCATTGGCCTCACAACCCCTTGTTATCCTCTATATTGAATTACTCATTCAGGACTTCAAGGCCATAAATCCGCTCCAATAGTCTCTTTCCCCATCCCTCTCCACTTTTCTTTTTTCAATACTACACTTTCTCTTCATATACCTGAAATGAATCCCATCTGATAAGCCATCTCTCTTCATCTTTCTTGAAAACCAACAAGTATTTGATGTGTGTAGTATAGGTATGGAGCTGGGTATACTGCATGGGTAGAAATCTCTTAGCAGTCATTTGATGTATTTCAAGACTATAGCCTAGCTCCCCTCTTCCATGTTTCGTAAGGAAGAGGAAGTAAAGGCAGAATGTTTACAACCAGGATGTGGAGGAGTGCTGCTGGATATATTGCTTGTGACATCCTAATTATTAGGTCTGCCTGCTGCTGCTAAGACTTTGCCTTACCCCATCATTCCTTCAATATTATCCTTACCAGCTCAATTTATATATTTTCCTTAGTGAAGGTGTATGCATCCATCACTGTGAGACAATCACTGGGGCCTATGTTATGGCACAGCAGGCTAAACCACCACCTGTAATATCAGCATCCCATAGAGAAGCCAGTTCCGGTCCCAGCTACTCCATTTCTGATCGTGCCAATGTGTCTGGGCCCCTGCAGTCATATGGCAGACCCAGATGGAGTTCCAGGCTTCTGGCTTCGGCCTGGCCCAGATCCAGTTGTTGCAGCCACCTGGGAAGTGAACCAGGAGGAGGAAAATCTCTCCCTAACTGTGCCTTCCAAATAAATCTTAAAAAAAAAATGATCACAAGGGTGAGGAGGGTCTTAGCTGGAACAATGCTATCAGCAAGCTTATTCCAGTATACAGAGCACTTCAAAATATTTTCTGCAAGTTTGGAAATCCATGCAACTCAACAACGTCTGAGACCATATATATTATAAGAAAATAGTCAAGGATTTCAATGGTCTGGCCCCAAAATAAACTTACCTTCTAATTCACTTTTCCACATTTACTTTAGTGAAAAAGTTTTGGAAATCCATGCAGCTAAAAAATGTCAGCTATAATACACAATATGAAAATAGTCATGGACTTCAATTATCCAGCCCACAAATAAATCTACCTTTTAATTCAATTTTCCACAAACTTTTTGAATTTTATGGCAGTGCATAACACCCTGGGGAGTAAAACTCTTTGGGCTGGGGTGCTATCCCATTATTAAATCAACACTAGCAATATGCAGTTTGATAATCTGGCAGAGCTTCAACACAATATCTTGGATTTTTAATTTTTATTCACCCTCATATGATAGCACATATAAAGTGTTGCACAGATGAAATCATTTCTGAAACTTGGTCACTCCTTTGAGCCTGGCTCAGATTATAGGTTTTTTTGGGGGGAGGGGTGGTAGAAAAATTTTAATTCTGAGGGTAGACTTGATCTGGAGACAGCCAAAAGTCACATTGAGTCTGGTGAAATAAGGTGCATAATATCCTGAACATAATTTTTACTAAAATAAATATGTAAAAGGATTGCCCTATTTTACTGTTAGAATAAGTATCGATAGCCTCACAACATGCTATATGGTTACTGGTTTCATCTGGAGCACAAAAATAAGAATACGATTTTATGACAACAGAGGGGTATAGCTAGGGGCAGACTCCAGAATGCTCAGCTTCTTTCGAGGCTAGGTAAATAAGGTTTCCATCTACCTGCTATGATTTCTGAATGGCAAGCAGCTTGTGTATCATGTGTGGGTTGGTAGCCTTGCTCGACTTAAAACAAGGGATACAGCTGTTGGGAAGCAAGCAATGGTGCTGGATTACACAGACAACCCAAACTAATACAAACACACACAGGCTTCCTGGAATGTAAATTCTTTTTGAGGTTAGAGATCTCCTTTTACAGATTTTATATAACAGATTAAAAAATCAAAGTTCTTGACTTCCCAATATTAAACAACTAAATGTGCAAAAGAATCACCATTAAATAGGACATCAAAAGCTATACACTTTCTATGAAACAACATGTGCACAGATTTTCAAAGCTGTGAAAATGCAATAAAGAGCACAACACATTTTGGTCACTTTATTAAATGACATTAAATAGTTTTAAGTTTCAACTACTAAACAGCACTTTGAATGGTGAAAACACAGATAGTATATTGTCATACTTGAATGCTTTTCTTTAAAAACACAATTCCAGTCCTTATATATATTACAAAACAGCCTTAAAGGAAGAAGTGACATCTTTTCTACAGTACTTAAGATACTCAATACAGAACTGAAAAGCAGTCTAACAGAAACAAAGGCAAGGTCTTCACAGCTGTATGATTTCAGCAGCCAAAGCTGGATGATGGACTGAAACATTACTATACAACTGGGACAAAACATATACAATATCACAATACTAAGCAAAAACGCTTTACACCCAAAGAAATAAAACAGGTTACAAAATGTGGAGAATTTAGCAGGCAAAACTGTATTACAAGCAACATTTTAAATCGTCATTTTTAAGCCATTGCAACTATTTAAAACATCTAAAACAAATATAAAAATGAGCCTTTTAGTATCTTATTGACATGATTTTGTCTTTAAATATTTGTTAAAACTTGATGTTATACTCAAAGTACATATTATGTAGCTAAAATGTCAAGTGAGAAGAGTGTATGCAAAGTGGTCCAAGTTTTATTTCGAACTCTCTGATTTCCAATTAATCCTCCTAAGTATTCTTCTTTATATCATAGTTTCCATCCATGGTGAAAAAGATTTAGAAGACTGCCTAAAATTTTCACATCTATGTCTTTGAGTAAATAATTTAGACCGTGTTAAAAATTCCCAAGTCTAGTAAATCAGGTTCAAAGTATTCTGGACTTGTAGAAATACCAACTGATAACAGTTAGCCAGAGCATACTGCCTTCAAATATTTATCTCATAAATCTTGTCTCTTTTCATCTCTTCTAAAGTAAACACACACAATTGTCACCCCCCCCAATAAAGAAATCTGATTATATGGCTGGCATAATATCCAAATATATGGAATTTGTCAATGACATCTTACCATGGGAAAGTGGGGGGTGTGGGGTAGATCCACTAAACCTCATAAATTCTATATCACAAACTTAGTGCTCTTAGATGTTTTACCGCTAGTTCTTCCAAGATAAAAATGGAAATCTCTTTATCATCCAAACAGCTCAAAACAGTTTTAGCTAATGTTAAATTCATTCGAATCCAGTGATACCTAGAGCAAATCCTCAGCCCAGCTTTTTTTCTGGAATTCTTTAGCTGTTTTTCCACTATTTGTTACATCACCATCTCAAAAATGGTTTTGCCATGTTGAGTTGACTCCCATAGTAAGAAACAATCCTTTTCTTTAAGAAATTCAAGCAACCAAAGTATACATGAATAAAATTATAGGCCATTTTTGTAGACCTATATGAAGATAAAAGAACATGTAATGATTTTCTAGTAAAATATCATGACAGGGTATTAGATGAATTCATTTGGATCAGAAAATTGCCTCACAGAGCTAAACTGAGAAAACTACCAAACTCTGAAATAGTTTTAGAAAATTCAAGTTAAACTGGGGGAAAAGAAAATGATGAGAGAAAAGAAGAGCATAGAAGCCAGTGATCCTTATCTTTAAGAGGAATTATTTCACAATACTGACAGTACTGGGAATTGTTAAAGCACATTCCTCGTGTGAACTTAAAGTCAGCAATGGTTCTGCCATTTTGATGTTGTTTATGAAACAGGGTGTGAACCTAACAACCACACTTCAGTGTCAACCTCCTAAAATGCTAGAACTTGATTTTTCTTAAGTCCACATCCCACTGCCAGCAACAGGATGAAGCACTAGCACTGGCACCATGCAGTTAAGAGATGTGCTTTATATTAGTGCCAGGAGAGAGAAAATTTATGTGTGGAAGATAATCCACAACCCTGAAATTTTACCAGTAATTATTTCAGCACATATAACTGAAAATAAAAAATGGCAGAAAGACTAAAGAAGAAAAAGGAATTCTCTTCTTAGGCTGTACTTAAGGCTGTTTATACAATGCTAAGATAACTGCAAGACTCCTCCAACTTTAGAGCAGTAGTATTTAAGAATATTGCACACATTCTGTGTCAAAGATAACCCTTAGTTTCTAACTTTCAATCATAGAGATGATATAGCAGGAGCCCAGTTTCAGACTTCAGTTAAAAGAACATTAAGACCATTTCAATCACTTTAATCAAGAAATGGATTAAGTACAAAAGTATTTAATAACTTGAGGAATCAACTCTAAGAACTCAGCTGTGTGTTTTTATATGTAAAGAACGAATATATAAATCTTTATTCTTTCCTAAATTCACTAATTTTATGACAATTTTATGGTTGCTAAAAGCAGGCATAAAAATTTAGAGAGGAAATCTGTGGAGCTGTTATTGTTATGGAAGGACTTGTTTTCACTGAAAACAATTTGAAATATCTTCTGTACTCATTGTGTGTAAGAAGATTCTAGGCAACATCACTGACAAATGTCAGGGAGAAATGGTATGCCCTATTTAAAAAAATTTAAAACTAATATGGAAGATTGGCATTTAAGGGGACCAAACTATTTATACAGTTGAGTTCTGTTAAGTCATTGATTCCTAAAAAAATAAAAGATCTTTCTATGATTTTAACAATCCTTTAAGCTTTTAGTGCAAAATCACATTGATTTCCCTTGGGAAGGTCCTGGATTTTTGCTTCTCATTGGGGGTGGTGCACGCTGTAATGGTGGTGGCTGCATACCAGCAGCCACTGACTGATACATTCCTCTCATATCAATCTGCTGGTAGTTAGAAGGATTCATGATTAAATTTGGAGGCTTTGGCATCATGAGGTGACCCAGTGTTGCTTGTTGATAAGTCATTTGTTGCTGCTGTTGCTGATTGTACTGCTGTTGGAGCCTTCGGTTCATAAGTATTCGCTGAACACAGCTGATTAACTATAGAAAGAAAAGAGAGCTGTTACAAGTGCATGACCTGTCTCAAAGAGGCAAGTATCAAGTTTTGAGTTAAAAATCAATTTGTTAAGGGGGTACCATACCAAAAGGAAAACACATTATTGTTATCACCATTACTAATTTGATGGCATTCACAGTACCATTACTGTAGAAACCAGTTAGTAACACCATTTAGGGCTAAATTCTCTTAATGACTTGACTATTGTATTGCAAGCAGCATTTAGGTTAGTTGCCATAGTAACCTGTCCTACACTGTGATTAGTCTCAAGTATTAGTTACAGCACTTTTTATCAAGTCTCCTTTCTTTGTCATTCTTTTGTATATTTCACAGGATGATGGACAAATAAACATTTTAGTGACAAACACGAAGGGGAAAAGCACTTGTACTAGTAATAATTCCTACTTGGAATGTCTCAAATTTCCTGAGACAATTTAAAACCACATAGTTCTGTGGTGCTTTCTAAGTAAAATTCATGCCCCAGAAATTGAGTCTGTGGTGTCAGGAGTTGAAATTTTCCAGTGCAAGGCAGAAGGCTGGCAAATTAATATACTGGGAAAGATGGTCAAGAATCCTGGAATATGCTAGATTTTTAAAGAATTATAATATAGTAGAAACCTGTGATATAGCTCCACTTAAATTTTTTCTAAGATTTATTTGAAAGTCAGAGTTAGAGTTAGAGTTAGAGTTAGAGAGAGAGAGAGAGAGAGAGAGATGGATCTTCTATTAGCTGGTTTACTCCCTAAATAGCCACAACGGCCAGGGCTGGGCCAGGCTGAATCTAGGAGCCTCTTCCAGATCTCCCACATGGGTGCAAGGGCACAAGTACTTGGGCCATCCTTGACTGCTTTCCCAGCTGCATTAGTAGGAAGCTGGATTGGTAGTGGAACAGCAGGGTCTTGAACTGGCAGCCATATGGGATGCCAGAGTCATAGGCGGCAGCTTTACCAGCTCTACCACAACACGGGCCCCCTTTTAAATAGTTATTTCTTATTTATTGTCATCTATCTAAAAGGCAGAGAGAGAGAGAGAGAGAGAGAGAGAGAGAGAATATCTTTTTTTAAAAGATTTATTTATTTATTTGAAAGTCAGAGTTACAGAGAGAGAGAAGGAGAGGCAGAGAGAAGAAGAGGTAGAGAGGTAGAGAGAGAGATAGAGAGAGAGATAGAGATAGAGAGAGAGAGAGGTCTTCCATCTATCTGCTGGTTCACTCTCCAGATGGCCACAATGGCTGGAGCTGCACCAATCCAAAGACAGGAGCCAGGAGCTTCTTTCGGGTCTCCCATGTGGGTGCAGGGGCCCCAGGACTTGGGCCATCTTCTACTGCTTTCCCAGGCCATAGCAGAGAGCTGGATTGGAAGTGGAGCAGCCAGGTCTTGAACCAGCGCCCATATGGGATGCCGGCACTGCAGGCAGCAGCTTTACCCGCTACGCCACAGCGCCAGCCCCAAGAGAGAATCTTACATTTACTGCTTCCCTCTCCAGGAATGAGTCAGGCCAAAGCCAGGAACTCCATCAGGGTCTCCCATGTGGGTGGCAGAGGCCCAGGTACTTGGGCCATCTTCTACTGTCTCCCAGGGTGTACATTAGCAGGAAGCTAAATTGGAAGCAGAGGAGCTGAGATTCTAACTAGCACTCAGATATGAGATGAAGGCATCTCAAGAGGAACTTTAATCCTCTGAGCTACTACATTGGCTCCCACAGCTTCACATTTTATTCTCCAATTAAATGCATTAAAAAGTATACTTTTTTAAGAAGTTGTTTAAAATGTCAAAGGTGGTAAAAATCTGGCAAAAGTTCCTATTCAGATATCTAAATTATATGAAAAATAAAATTATATGGAACAGATCCTATACCAATTTCAAGCAGTCTCAGTTTGTCAAGCTATTGCTTCTTTGTAATAAAAGATTACCTTTAACTTGACATTACTAGGTTTTTGACAGAAGTTCTCCCAGAAAACTTTGGAGGCATGGTTACTGGCATGGACAGCACATAGACCCATTATTATGAATTCGAGGCAATTAAACATAGCCTAGAGATGGAAGTCTTACCATCTGTTGTTTGGTCAATACATCGTTGTAGATTGCCTCTCTTCGTTTAACATCAAGCTCCTGGCTGGCTTGTCTACTTAATGCTAGTGCCTGTACTTGGGCCTCTGAGAGATTCATGTTTTCCTTCCACTAAAAGAAAAAAAATTTATTCATTCCATATTACTGTAAAATTGAGGAAAAATAATTAAGATATTTAAATATATTCAGGATTTTCCTTTATTCTTTTCTACAGAAAACAGTAATATCAAAGCAGGGTACTGCATCATCCAATGTTCTATATGGGCTGGCTATCTCTAGAATAAAGTAACTATATGAATTTAATTTGTGCACCTGGTAATTAAAGCATGATTATGTAAACAATGCATACATTTCTATGTTAGATTTCTCAATTTGTAGATTTTACTCATTTCTCTTTTGTGCCAATATCTAGGCAAAATTGCAGGATTGCAGTTTGCATATCAAGCTATAAGAATCACACTCTACCCCACAGAATGAATGAAGCAAACAATCATTAAAAATTAAAGCAAATGGTGGTGATGAATGGACACGAATTGGAGGTCAGAATAAAAAAACTGCCAATTAGCTTACTACAGCTGAAATTATATCTTCAAGAGGCTGAATCCTCACGGCTGTCACACTGTTTGTTGCTTCCACAACTTTTTCTCTTCCTTGGTTGATAAGATCCTAGAAGAATGTAAGAAAGCATAGTTTTAAAGTATACGGATCCCTTCCCTTGCCAGTTTATAGCATTTGGTTTCAAAATTCTATAACTGAAGACAGCAAATTCAGCATAAAGTGCCAAAGGTTCTAGTTAGGATGATAAAAAATTTAATTTTTATCATACCAATGATTTAATAATTTCAATAGATCTATAAGCACACTTTAAAAAGGAAACCATAGATTCATTAACTTACTAAATTGTTGGTTACAAAGAAACCTTTCTTAATTCATACTTGATTCTACTCTTAACTCACTTATTTCATAATGCTAAGCATTAACATAAACTTAATTGTATATCTATATTAGAATGCAAATCAAATTATATATTCACCTTACTTTCAAACATTAAGTAAGCAATTTGTTTATTCCAAATATTTTATAACTGAAGAAAGTGCTATTTCCCTCACCAGTCAGTTGCCTTATTGTTCCTTAGTTAAAATAGTTTAAACTACTTTAATTCAAGGACTGATTCCCCTGTGCTCTGAACAAACATTTTAATATACTATGTTTTTTCAAAAAAGGTTAACAAATAAAAAGAAAAATTTCTTGGTCTATTCAGAGGTAATCTTTTGGAGAATGTGATATTCCTAGGGAACCCTCAAACAAGGCACTTGAAAATGCCTTTAATTCATGTTAAAGTACTTTGTACTTCACAACTTACCTCCAGCTGTTGATTACTCATTGCTGATAGGGCTCCCAAATTGAAAGGAATATAAGGAGTCTGAGCGCTGAAAGTGACAGGGGGTAAATTGGTCCCAGTTGGTATGTTGAAACGCATGGTCAGTCCCTAAAAACAAAAAATTATGCACTTTTTGCATTGTGATTTCGAACTCGAAATTCTACATCATCTACTGATTTAGAAATGAATCCACATTCTCAGATCTAGGAAATTATTAACACTCTTCCACACACAAACAAAACATCCTTTCTATCCAAAACCAAGATCTTATTACACAGAAAGCTTTAACCCCTAAAGGTGTACTCTTTTTTTCTGATAATTCCCACAGAATGGGGCAATTCAGTGAATTCTGATGAGACTCCTACCATCACATTAATGTTAAAGAAGTTTGGTACAATGAGAGTTAATTTTAAAAGGATTCAGGTATTAGGATAAGGTTTCTCATGCCCAGGCACATTTTTGCTCAAGTGGGCTGGTTTTTAAAACAGACATGGAATTATTTTAAATAAAGCTGCTACTAAAGATTGACATTACTATCCAATAATAGAGTATTTTTGTGTTCTGACATTCAGCCAAAATTTAGACTTCATGAAACACATGCTAAAGCAACATTTACTCACACCTCCAAATTCTAAGCTCCTTTATGTTTGCTACCATATACTGAGGGTGTTGATGGGAGTTAAGTGATGCTAAATATGACTTCTCAATTCAGAAAGTGCTAAAGCAGAAATGGTGTTATTACTGTGTGTAAAATATTTTCTTCTCCTCTCTTACTTTACTACCAAAAGTACCTAAAACACATAATAGATATCATAACTGAAGACTGTTTCTGAGGACTCACTATATGATAACCTGTTGAAAATATGGCCCTTTTCTTCCTCACTGCTCTTTCAAATAATAAACATAAAACAAAAACAATAAAGCATGAATTACCTTCTTCTCAGCTTCATACTCCGCCCAAGCTGCTTTTCTTTCTTCTTCAGTCAACTCTTCTTCTTCTTTGTGGTCCAAAAGAGAATCATGTTCATGATATCCTACAATGTGTTCTTTATGTATCTGAAGAAGTTCTGCAAGTATAGTATCCTGTTTTGCAAGGTTGAAATAATAGAGAATTATTTTCATTCTTGATCCAACTGCCATAGTTCTGTAGTTAACTGTCAGACTAGAAAGTAAAAACTGACCGTTATATAAATTTCTGAAATTTATGGTAAATTACCTAGAAAACAAGCCATGAAACATTTAATATCATCCTCTTATGTAAAAATTTCATGTTTATGTAACATATTTTAGAAATTTTGAAACATTTTTAAAGATTACTACTTTTTAGCTTTCAAGGTCCTTCTTCTCCAACTCATAAAAACTTTTTCATATGCATTTTATTTTGTGCTTAGTTCTGAGTTGATCGATGCTAACATAAGTTTGCTTGAATTAGTGCTTATAATAAATGCTTGCATTAAAAGCATGGCTACTCCTATTTATACGTGTTTAGCAACTTTATTTCCACAATCATTTTAGCTACCAACCACTATACGAACAAAAAAATGAATATAAATCAATCTGAACACGTGTAGGCAAGTTTAACTGGAACATACAGTTCTTATATTGCAATTGTGGGAAGTTCAAATATAAACTATATAGTAAGAACCTGTAACTCAAATTTTAACTAATGAGAATTTTTCATCAATTTATTATCTATCATAGTGTATTTTTAAAAAAGAATCATGGTGTCTTGCATCAATTTTGAAGATTAAAAAGTTCAAAGTAAAAATTGGGATCACTTATGTCTACACTAAGAACATTAAGCTCCTGCTCTGTGTAATTCTAATTGTAGGAGTGAGACACAAAAATGAGGGAGCAATATATTATTTTTATTTATCCTCCCTGTGGGGGAGTTTACTTTTTTATTTGTTTGAAAGGCAAAGCATGAAGGGGAGGAGGAGGGAGAGATACCAATCTTCCAACCACTGGTTCATCCCAAATGACTCCAACAGCCAAGAAAGGGCTAGGCTGAAGTTAGGGTGGGTGGCAGGGGCCCAAGCACTTGGGCTTTCCCAGGTGCATTAGCAGGGAGCTGGATCAGAATCAAAGCAGCCGGAACTCTTAACTGGACCTCATGTGGGATGTCGGTGTCACAGGCTTAACCCACTGCACCACAGTGTTGGCCCCAACTGAGTGTGAATTTAATAAAGGAATATAATTACTAATTAAATGAAGGTATGGGAAGGCAAATAGCACATTAAATCCAAATTTAATCTACCTCTAGTAATGTTTAATGCATCCATATTATTGGCCTAAACAAAGCCCGCATTTGAAAATAATTGTATCTTTACGTACTGAACCATACCAGGAATATAGAGTCTAAAACATGGCAGAAATTAAAATTTCTATTCAACTCAAGAGGAAATGTGGGGAGCAACTGGGACTAGACTGTTACTCAAATTAAGACTTATTTTATGCATCTGCTCTCCCACAATATGGCGCTGGGAGAGGAGGAAACAGCTTCTACACAGCTGCCTCCAGTTCAACCAATAAACAGCAGGACCTGCTCCTGATTGCAGGAGAGCAGCGTACTCGGCGTGTGGGTAGCAGAGTTGAGATTGGTGGAAGAGGACTATAAAGGAGGAGAGAGACAACATGCACCAGGAACATCTAAGGGGAACATCTATCTGAAGGAACACCTGTGCAGCCCCCGAGAGAGCCGGCCGGCGGTGTGCCGCTCCCCCGCGGAAGTGGGGAAAGTGGCAGGGGGAACCGCCCTTCCACGGAGGTGCAAGGGACAGTAGCCAACCCGGGAAGAACCAGCAGCAAACCCGGGGAGGGCCGAGCAGACAAAAGAACAGCGCAGGGTCCTGTGTCGTTCCTCCACGAAGACGGGGAGCGACAGAGAGACATAATGGTGCCGTGACTTGGATATGAAGCCTAGGCAGGGTTTAGTGTCGTTCCTCCACGAAGAGGGGGAGCAACATAATGGTGCCGTGACTCGGATAGGAAACCTAGGAGGGAAGAAACGGGAAGAAGTGGGAAAATACCGGAGAGAGAGATTAGCAAAGAGCCTAGGGAAAAGCCGGACGGAAAAGGTGCCGGAAGAAGCTATCGAAAGCCTAGGCATAGACTCGGATATGGACTGTGGGAAAGAAGTTAGGATTGAAAGCTAGGAGTGAAAGTGAAAGCAAGAAGAAATTTAGACTCGGATACGGACTATGGCGGGGAAGCTAGGAGATTGAAAGCGAAAGTGAAACCTAGAAGAAACTTAGATACAGACTGTGAGGAGAAGCCAGGAGAAATGAGAGGGGAATATTGTTGGAAGAAAAGTTAGGAAACATACCGGGTAGAGAAAAATATGTTAGGGAGGATGAAGCCGCGGGGGCAGGCTGAGGCAGAGACGTAAGCCAGGTTGGAATTCTTCAAGTCAGCCTGGGGAACAAAAGGCGAAAAGCTAAAACCAGAGGTGGAGACGCGTAAGCTAGGTTGGAATCCGTCAGATTAGCCAGGGGAGCAAAAGACGGGAAGCCAAACTGAAGCGGAGACGTGAGCTAGGTTGAATTCGCCAGGTTAGCCCGGGGAACTTAGACTGAAAACCAAGAAGTGGAAACGTAAGCTAGGATGTGTGATTCGCGGAAGCCGCCGCGCGCAGAGAGCGCGCGCGGGGCACGAACGGGGAGAGCGCACGGGGTGCAAGTAGGAAGTGCGGGGTTGGCGCGAGGCCGTGGGGCGGGCGCAAAGGGCGTGGAGACCACAGAGAGCACAAAGCCGAGAAGCTGAGCAGAGCCGGGAAGCCGCCGCAGGGCAAGGCGCCAAGAAGCAGCCTCGGGGTGGGCGCCGGGAAGCCGCGGGGATAAGAGAAACAGAAGTTTAGAAGTAAAATGAGAGAAACAGGAATGCTGGCAGATAGAAGTAAAATAGGAGAGATAGGAATGCCCGGAGATAGAGAAATAGAGAAAAATAAGGCCTCCCCACAACACGGCAATGAGAGAGCTTGGATTCGGTCTGCCTGATTAGTAAGACGATAAGCACCTGTGGGCGGCTGCAGGTCACCGAAGACAGGCACGTTATCAACACCAATAAGTCTCCCCACAAGACGGCAATGAGAGGGCTTGGATTCGGTTTGCCTGATTGCTAGGGCTTGTAAGCACCTGCAGGCAGTTCTAGCAGAGTAGAGCATGCGCTGCAGGGCACCAAACACAGGCACGCATCAGCGCCTAAAAACCTCCTCACAACATGACAGAGAGGACCTGGATTCGGTTTGCCTGATTGGTAGGGCTTGTAAGCACCTGTGGGCAACTCCAGCAAGCAGAGCAGAGTGTGCGCCGCGGGGCACCGAAGACAGGCATGTATCAACGCCAAAAATAAAAAGAAAGGGGGATCTGTGGGGAGCAACTGGGACTAGACTGTTACTCGAATTAAGACTTATTTTATGCATCTGCTCTCCCACAATATGGCCCCTGCACCCACATGGGAGACCCAGAAGCTCCTGGCTCCTCGGTGCAGCTCCGGCTGTTGTGGTCAATTGAGGAGTGAACCAGCAGTTGGAAGACCTCTGTCTCTCTCCATCTCTCGCTCTGCCTCTCCTTCTCTGTGTAACTCTGACTTGAATTAAACACAGATGGAATAGTCTGCAGTCACATGCATAACATCCAATTCTTTGGAAATACACAGCGAAAATTAAGTAGTGTTTATTTATCAATTATAAATACTGTAATTCATACATTAATTACTTCTTTACACTAGGGGGGATTTTTTCCAAGAATATATGTATGTCCACACAAATTCTCTTTTTCTGTTGGGAAAAAATGCTTGAGATACCAAGGGGCTTTATCAAGTCAGTTCTGAGCATCCTATAATTTCAAAGTCAGAATTTATCATCTTGGAACTAGTAGAAACTGAGAACAAGAGGGGCAAAGTAGCTTTTTCCAAATACACAGCTAAGGAGTAGCTGGGACTAAAAACTAAATTTCCTGACTCCCATTAAAGGATTATTCTGTCACAACACAAAGAATGTCTGGTTTTTGGAGGCATGGTCATTCCATTTCCCAGATCTATTCTTAGATTATCTCCTGCAGGATTCTGAGGGAGGTGAAAAACTAAGTAGCTCCATTTTTTTTCACTTTCAGTGTATGCAGCTTTTCAAAACATGCATATGTTAATAAAAGAAAGTATAAAAATTGAAAAAAAGACAATTCAAGAGATAAAAGTTGAAAGGTCAGTTCATGCTTATGCTAAACCTTACATGCACTATTCTATGATTTCCATCTTCAGAAGTTACTCATTTCTAAAATCCTTGAATACCTTATCCTCAACAATTCCAGATTCAAGATCTATCCTACCAAGTCAAACATGATCACCATATCAAAGTCAGATATGGTGGAAGTCCATTTTCCACTCATACTATAACTTTCCTGTTGACTTGTGGTTCACTGAAATGCCAGTAAGTCGCAGAAAAAGTACATATGACTTTGGTTTTTATGATTAAAATGTTTTAAAACCTTTCCTTAAAACATGGCCTCCTTCGGGGGACAGTACTGTGGCGTAGCAGTGCTGGCATCCCATATGGGCGCTGGTTCAAGTCTTAGCTGCTCCACTCCCAATCCAGCTCTCTGCTATGGCCTGGGAAAGCAGTAGAAGATGGTCCAAGTTGTTGGACCCCTGCACCCACATGGGAAGACATGGAGGAAGCTTCTGGCCATTGTGGCCAACTGGGGAGTGGACCAGCAGACAGAAGACCTCTCTCGGGCCAGTGCCATGGCTCACTTGGTTTGTATCAGAAATCCTATATCTTTCTGGGGACATCAATTTACACCAAATACAAGTATTTTTAATGGCTTCATGGTATTTATATTCTATACACTGTATTATCTATTTAATATAATCATTTAATCTATTTGATCATTCCTTTAACACAATTTGACTTCCTTTTTTTAATTATTATCAAATCTATAATGACATGGTACAATTTTTTTTAAGATTTATTTATTTATTTGAAAGACAGATATAAGAGATGGGGCGGGGAGAGAAAGAGACATCTTACATCTGCTGGTTCACTCCCCAAATGGCCACAATGGCCAGAGATGGGCCAGGCAGAAGTC